CATTACATCGAAATTACGATGTGGGGTTTGGGTCTGGCAGGCCTGAGTCAGAGATCCAGCCCAGACTCTTACTAGCTGTGTGATCTTGGGGGAATAATTTAACTTCCCCGAGCCTCTGTTTTCTCTTCTGTACAATGGGGGTAATATACCCATACCTCCCTCAGAGGCCAGTGGATAGCCAGGGCCTGCACACACTACTTTGCAAGTGGTGCTCTGTCATTCTCCTGGTCCTTACCTTCAGGGCGTTCTGGTGTCAGTTCTTTTTTCATCTTAATGGTGTAGCTTGCTCAAGTGTTGACAGTACCTGGACAGCACTTGGGCCTGTTAATAATGCTTTATTACCTCTCTAGGGTACTTGATGCTTTTCAAAGTGCTATATGACAGTAAGAACAATTTCTACTCCCGGCACACCTACTTGGTGCCAGCACTGTGCCAGTGGCTCTGCAACTCAGTGCTCAGAACCTCACAGCGTCTCTGGAGAACTGGTGTGGCTCTCCATCTCACACCGGGGGCTGAGGGTCAGCTTCAGGGAGGGTCAGTCCCAGTCGGGGGTGGGGGCTGCAGTAGGGGCTCACACTGAGGTCCATAGGGCCCCCAAGCCCATGTATATCCTTTCCTCCTTAGCATAAGCAGGCCAGGTGCCAGGGCAGAAAGCCTAAGAAGTAGAGTTTCCGGATCAACCCTCCTCACACTATAGGTTAGAAAACTCTGAGGTCCAGGGAGCGGAAGTAACTTAACAATCATGCCTGACGTTTTTGTTACATGTTATGTAGTTTTTCAAGGACTTTCACAGCTGCTGCCTCAATTAGTCTTCACAGAAACCCAGTAGCTGGGCCAGGCAGATAGTTGGGCTGTCAAAGAACCATGGAGGACACAGAGGTGTGAAAACTGTATACTGTGTTTCTATGGCATAATGCAATTTGGAAAACAATGTAGATTGAGCTTTGGCGATAATAAGAATGGGTGCTGTTCAGTCAACACCTGCTCCTTGATGTATAATGTCAATGACTCTCACTCAGCCTGCTGGGCAGCAGAGCTCTAGCCTGGCAGCTCCAGCACAGGGCCGTGCAGCTTGTCAAATGAGCATTAGGTGATCAATGTGAGGATCGTAGATGCTGAGCTTCCCAGAGACAGGAGCTTGTCTGTCTAGTTCCCAAGTGTTTCCTGCACCTAGAGTAGTGTCTGGTACTATTATTGATCCTGCTGGTGATTATGGGAATTAAATGAGGTATCCCTTTGCCTCGGAACGTAGCAGGGGTTCAGCTAGTGTTGGCTCAAGGGTGCTCTGTGGCATGCTGTACCCAATGACTGCCCTCTCCCTGTACACCCCTGCAGGCTCTCCCCACTTACTTTGTCTCCTCTTCCTGTCCTTCTCTGCCTAGTGAACGGGAGCTACGGCCACTGCACGCCGGGCACGGAGAAGAGCCTGCTGGACCTGGACCTTGCAGAGGGCCTTGGCCCCGCCTGCCGCCAGGGCCTGTTTCTCCCGGCGGGAACCCCACCACCCCGGGGCCACCCTCCAGCCTGTGAGAGGCTGCTTCATTTTCCTCACGCCAGCAGGTATGTGCCCCATCCCCACCATCAGCTGCCCTCTGTGGACACTCCCTGGGGGCCAAGGACCGAGGGCCTCCAGACCTCACCTAGTCTGCCTGGCCCAGGATTGCCAGGGACCAGCCAGAGCCCAGTAGCACAATGATGGCTGCCTTGTCTAGGTCCCGCACCTCCTGAGTTACAGGGCCTCATGAGAGACAAAGATGGTTTTATTGAGGTGTATTTCCCCGTTGCAGCAGCTGAGGTGGCTTTTCACAGAGAATAAGTCATTTTAGAAGGGGAAGATTTGGAGGGAGTTGGGGAGGGAAACCTCAGTTCAGGGTTCACACTGTCAGACCCTGGGCTACTTACAGAGCGGAGACGGGTTCCTCCACAGGGCCATCTCCTGCCCCAGGGAGCCATTGCCTCTCAGAACCCTGCCAAGTAACCAGCATCATCCAAGGCCTGCACATTTCCAGTGATGTCTGCCTCTGCAAAATGTTCCATTAGATTACATGAAATCTGCCTCTTGCGGCTTCTCCTGGTGTCTCACCCGTGCCTCTGTGCTCTCTGGTTTGCTGGCAGGTGGAGGCCAACCTCAGGCAGGCCTCCGTACCTACCCCTTGGGCCCCAAGGGCCCTCACCCCACTGCTGACCTGAGGCCTGTTCACAGATGAGAGAGTCTAAAAACTGGCCCAGTTGCCTGTTCACAATGTATCCCTTCACCACCCATTTATCAAGAGCCTACTATGAGCCAGGCACTGTGGGGAGCTGGGGGTTCCCTGGCAGAGGAAGCAGAGATCTCCCTGATGGAGGTTACTTTCCAGTGGGAGCTCCACATGGGAGATATTACTAAATAGCTTTTTCTTCATGTGGAACCATTTTCCTTTGAGAATTTAGATTCCCTTTGGCCTTCCTTGATGTCAGTGAAACTTCTGATTAATAGTGTACTAGTCTGCTTGGCTGCCATGACAAAACACCACAGACTGGGTGGCTTAAACAACAGACATTTATTTTCTCACAGATCGGGGGCTACAAGTCCAAGATCAAGATGTCAGTAGGTCTGGTTTCTCCCGAGGCCTCTGTCAGGTTGCGGACGGCCGCCTTCTCGCTGTGTCCTCCCATGGCCTTTCCCTGTGTGCACACTCTCTGTGTCTCTTCCTCTTATGAGGATACCAGTCCTTTCAGTTTAGGGTCCCACCCTATGACCTCATTTAACCTTAATCACCTCCCTTAAGCCTCTGTCTCCAAATATAGTCACATTGAGGGCTCAGGCTTCAACATATCAATTCAGCACATAGCAGGACCAAGCATCCTTTAGATTTCAAGCTGTGCATTGCTTGGCAACAGTCAAGTACATGTGTCTGCTTGATTATCACTGAGGCTCCCAGCAGCATCCAGTTTCTCCAGTGAAATTCTTTCTATTTCAGGGTAGAAGCTATGATAAACTAGGGAAAGCTAGGCAAGTGTTTTGGTTTTTGATAGAGACCATCAGAAATATCACTTGTCATTCTGAATGTGATTTTGACAATTTAAGGCATAGGAGAGTCTGTACCCAGAGCCCTACACCAGCATCAGTCTAAGTGGCTGCTATCCGACCACCGAAGTGATTGAATTTAACGTGGCACTTTCAGACTCCCGCATTTTCCTAAACAAAAAGGGGGTCCAGCCCCTCTTCCACACCAGGCAAATCCTGTCCCTTCTCCCTCCCACAGGACTGCCTTGTGTTTGGGGCCCCTCCTCTCCATTCTTGTGTCCCCTCCTGCTCTCTGGCGCCTTGACCCACTGCCTGGGTTCCTGCAGCAGACACACCAGCCACCTCCTTGCCTCCAGCCCAGCTTTCTAATACTAGCACTAGACTAGTACTAGTACTAATACTAATTAATACTAATACAATAGCTTATTATTAGTGACTGCTGCCTGTGCAGTTTCTCTCATTTAATCCACACAGCCCCAGGAGACCCAGGTCCTACTGCTCATAAGCTGCAATCCTGGAGCACTTACTATTCGCCACACCTCAGGCCAAGCACTTACCTGTGTTGACTCATTCAGCCCACAACTGCAGTAGGGTGGGGAAACTGAGGCCAGAGGGGCTATAAAACTACCTGGAGGTCACCCAGCAAGTGGTGAGGAGTTTTAAGAAACTAGCAATATCCTGATATTGCAGCCTCGGCCTTCTTCCTCTGGAATTCACTAGCCGGTCAGAAGGAGGGGGTCAGGGAGGCCGGAGTCGCAGGGCAGGATGGCATCTGGGCTAGACTCGGTAAAAGGGTGAAATGGTGCTTTTTACGGCATTCTCCTCTTCAGACCGCCTGCCTCTTTAGAACGTCTCCCCAGCCCAACTCCTCTTCCTCTCTCTCCCCTTTCCCTCCATACTTTTCCTTGCTGGTCAGACAACCAATCTCTGTCCTCCTTCCCTTCTCTCCCTCCTTCACCCCCCCCC